GAAAAAAAGAAGAATGAGGTAAAAAGAGGGAGGGAGGGAGGGAGGAGGGAGGAGGGAAAGGAGGGAGGAGAGACAGAGACCTCAAATGTCACCCTTGCTGTCCTTTCTGTCCCCCTCTCTCTCCCTCTCCCTCTCTCCCTCTCTCCTCCCTTCCTCCCTCCCTCCCTCTCCCTCTCTCCCTCTCTCCCTCCCTTCTCCTCTCTTTGACGGGATAACTTCTCTTGTTTGTTGTCAACCAGGTGTGGTACTCTGGGGGGGGGGGGAGGGGGAAGGGGAAGGAGGGGGGGGGTGAGGGGAAGGGGGATGGAGGGGGCGAAGGGTGAAAGGGGGAAGGATGGAGGGGGGTGAAGGGGAGGGATGGAGGGGGGGTGAGGGGGAAGGATGGAGGGGGATGAAATGGGGGGAGGAGGATGGGGAAGGGGTAGAGGAGGAGGAGGGAGGGGGATGGAGGTGTTGTTCATCACTTCCCTTCAAAAAAAAAACCCTTAAAAGTCATTTTCACACAGAATGGAGGAAATGCCTAGCTCATTTCCCCTCTCTCTCCCTCCTCCCCCCTACACCATTTTTGTTTCCTTTAATTTCCTCTCTCCTTCCCATCATTCTTTCTTCCCTCCCCTCCTCTCTCCCTCTCCCCTATCCTCCTCTCCCTTCCTCCTTAATTCTCTCTACTTTTCCTCTATTCCTCTCCTCCCTCCTCCTCCCTAGTTCCTCCTATCCTCCTCCTCCTCCTTCCTTCCTCTCCCTTTATCCTCCCTCCTTCCTCCCCTACCCTATTCCCTCCCTCCTTCCTTTCCCCCTCCTCCTCTTCTCCCTCCTGCAGACCGGAAGCAAATAACCGCTCCCGACTTCCCAGCGTCATCACCACCTCATCACCTCACCACCTCAGTCATCACTTTCCCCGCGTCATCACCACCTCATCACCTCACCATCACCTCAGTCATCACTTTCGCCGCGTCGTCATCATCACCACCTCATCACGCGTCATCACCACCTCATCACCTCACCACGCATCACGGGGGTCGTCGCCTCATCAGCGGTGATTCTAAGGAGTCGCTATTTTTTCCTCATCTTTATCCGTTTCCACTCCATTCGGCATTTTCTTATCCCCCTCTCTCTCTCTCTCTCTCTTTTTCCTTCATATTCGTAGGTATTCGAAACTTGATTTTGTTGTTGTTGTTGTGGTTGTGTTGTTGTTATTATTGTTGCTGTTGTTGTTGTTTATATTATTGTTTGTTTATTGATGGTTGTAATTATTTGTTGTTATTGTTTTGTTGTTGTTGTTGCTGCTGCTATTGTTATTCTGTTGTTTTATTCGCTATTATGATCTTCGTTTCACGCAGCCAGATTTACCTCACGTCTCTCTTTTTCTCTCTCTATCCCTCATTCTCCTCATTCTCTTGACGTTCCTCTTCCTTCCCTCTCGCTTCACCTCATCTCCTCATTCTCCTTGCCTCCCGTCCTTTCTCATCCTCCTTTATTCTCATCCTCCCCCCAATTCTTCTCTTTACTCACTCCTCTCTCATTCTCCATCTCCTTTCCCCTCGCTTCTCCTCTCCTATTCCCCTCACTCCTCATCCTCTCCCATTCTCCTCCCTTCCCTCATACTCTCTCATTCTCCTCCATTCCCCTCACATCTCATCCTCTCCCATTCTCCTCCTCCACTCCCCTCCCTCCCCTCATCCCCCATCTCTCTAGCGACCACGACCGCCCTTTCCCCTTCCTTCCCCTCTACTTCGGTCCTCAACCCTGACCTTCTAATTGCCTCCATCTCTGCCCCACCATCATCAAATAGTTCCTCTATCTCCCTCTTTCTTGTCATTATTCCTTTTCCCCCTTTCTTTCTTTCTTCTCTCGCCGACCCTAATGCCTCTGCCACTTACCAAGATGTTTCCTCTTCTGTCTTCTCTCCTTCGCCTCCTTGTCTATTCTCTTGTTGTCTTCTACGCTGCTCGTTCTCCTTGTTATTATCCTATTTGCCTTCCCCTTCTTCGCTGCACCTTTCCCCTCTCTCGCGGCCTTTTTCGCTCTTTCTTTTCTTTCGCTTAAGTCCATTTATCTTGGGTTTGTGTTTATCCCTCTTTCGCTATCTCTATCTCTTTCTTTCTCTCTTTCTCTCTCTGTTTGTGCGTTTTGGATTCTATGATTCTGTTATATTGTGTTTATCCCTCTTTCTCGATCTCTATCTTTCTTTATTTATTTCTTCCTTTCTTTCTCTCTCTCTCTGTCTGTGTGTTTTGGATTCTATGATTCTGCTATATTGTGTTTATCCCTCTTTCTCTATCTCTATCTTCTTTCTTCTTTTCTTTCTTTCTCTCTCTGATGTCTGTGTGTTTTTGGATTCTATGATCTGCTATATGCCTCTTTCTCTATCTCTATCTCTTTCTTTCTTTCTTTCTTTCTCTCTCTGTTTGTGTGTTTTGGATTCTATGATTCTGCTATATCGTCTCTGTGCCTTGCCTATGTCCACTCTATCTCCCCCTCTCTCTCTTTCTCACGTACCGGATCCTTTTCTAATCCTCCTTCTTCCCTTCTCTCCCACCTTCTCTGGTCTTCCTTCCTCCCCATTTTGTGCCTCCTCCTTCCTCTGCCTCTCTCTCTCTCTCTCTCCCCATCTCTTCTAGTCTTCCTCCTTCCCCCTACGTCTGTCTCTCCCCATCTCTTCCTCTCTTCTCACTGCCCCCTCTCCTTCCCCCTTCCTCCGCCTTCCTCTCCCCCACCTCCTCTCCTCCCTCCTCCTCCTTCCCCCCTTCCTCCGCCTTCCTCTCCCCACCTCCTCCTCCTCTTTCCTCCTGCCTCCTCCTTCCCTCCCTTCCCCTTCCTCCGCCTCCTCCCTCCTCCTCCCCTCCTCTCTCCCCCCCTCCTTCCCCCTTCCTCCGCCTCTCCTCCTCACCTCCTCCTCCTCCTCCTCTTTCCTCACTGCCTCCCGCGCTTCTCGTCCCGTGCCCTTCCTGCCTCATAAGCGGGAGTGGCGGCCATATTTTACTTGCTGTCAATTACCGAGATTGCTCGCCGGCGCACCTACAACCGCTTTATTGCATCTCCACCCGCTCGCCGAGGTCGTCGCTTGCTTCCCCTCGGCTCTCGGGGGGCGTCGGTCACTCGGTGGAGGGTGAGGGGAGGGAAGGGAGGGGGTGAGGGAGGGGAAGGGAGGGGGTGAGGGGAGGGGGGACGACGCCCTTCGCCCTTCGTCCTCCTCCTCCTCCTCCTCTTTGCCCATGAGGGGGTGAGGAGAGGGGGTCACGACGCCCTAGGTCCTCCTCTCTCCTTCCTCCTCCTCCTCTTTGGCCATGAGGTCCTTCGAGGCATTTTTTTTTAAGGGGGAAAAAATTGCGTGGATTAACAGGGAGGAAAAGGCTGGAGGGAAATAAATATTGCGTGGGAGAGGATCTCGGCGTCGGGGCTGGACTGTGCTTCGAGGAGGAGGAGGAGGAGGAGGAGGAGGAGGAGGAGGAGGAAGAAGAGGAGGAGGAGGAAGAAGAAGGAGAAGGAAGAAGAAGAGGAGGATAACGAAAAGGAGGAGGAAGGGGGACGAGGAGGAGAAGGAACAGAAGAGGAGGGAGGTGAAGGAGGATGCTCACAGACGGCGTCGGCGGCGGCGAAGAGGGACTTCCCGCGGTCCCTCTTCTCCCTCTGCTCCCTCTTCTCCTCGCTCCCTCGCTCCCCCCTCCTGCTGCCGCCCGCCGCGACGCCAGATTTCATTTTCCGGGATCTGTGATGATCCCAAAGCGACTCTTCGGGGACTAATTTTATGGCTGCCCATTGATTGTGATGGCCGGGCTGTTATGGCCGCCGCCGCCGCCGCTGCTCGTGGTACCGCTGACCCGTCCTCGACCCTCTCCCCCCCCCCTTCTTCCCCCCCTCCCCTCCTCTTGGCCGCCCCTCTCGGACCTTCTTCCCTCTCCAGGTATCTCTCGGATTCCTCTCCCTTCGGCGTCGGGGGAGGGAGGGAGGGGAGGGGGGGGGGAGGAGAGGGGGGGAAGGGGGCTCAGCTCTTCGGGAAGGCCCCTCGGATGGCGCCCGTCGTCTCGGGGTCCACGTCGGGGTCGCGCTTTCCTTTCCGTTTTGTTTATATCCTCGTGGCTTTTAGACGCCACTATCCTTCACTTTAGAGGAATATAATAAATATGATGATAATGATAAATCCACTTCTTTCTAATCACAATGATCTATTAAATCCACTCGATCGCCTTCATTCTTCCTCGCGATCAACCACACAACACGAGATATCACTTGGTCTTCCACAACCCACGTTAGATCTTCTTCGTCACTGCACCACACCCACGAAAACACTTCGAAAAAAAAACGCTTCCTTCTACACCATCACCATCTTCACCATACGAAAAAACACCGAAAAAACGCTTCCTCTACACCATCACATCTTTCACCATTCCACCAAAAAAAACACCATCTACCATTCACACATCACCACATTTCTTCACGCCAAAACACACACAAAAAAACAAAGACAAACAAACAAGGACAAACAAACAAGGACAACCGTCGGGGAAAAACGAGAGAGCGGGTACTTACCACGTCTGGGGTGGAGGCTCCGTCGGTATGTGTGGTGTCGGCGGACGCCCGACCGGCAGCCACGGCAGAAGCGTTATTGTTCGAGTCGCCGGGGCCCAAGACCTCTGGTTTGGGGCCCTCGCGCTCGTCAATGACCAGGTCGATGGGCATTTTACCCTTCAGACAAGAGATGTATCGGTGGCAGAAGTTGTCGCACAGCTCGTGAACCTGCGGGAGGAGAGAGAGGTCGGGTCAGATCGGGTTGTCGGTGGTGGTGGTGTCGGCGGGGCGGCGGAGAGGAGGCTCGGTTTCGGCTTCCGTCGCCACGTCGCCACGTCGCCACCGTGGACGAGTAAATCTTACGTGGATCTAGCAATTTAAAAAAACACACAAACACAGTACCAGCAATATAAACCTTCCCCCTTAAAAAAAAATAATAAAAAAAAATAAGACACACCTACGTATCCGTGCGTGCGTGCGTGCGTGCGTGCGTGCCGCGGCCGGAAAAGACGAGCGAGAACGAGACCGCAACCCGGCCGCCACACAGCCTCACGAACCGCGCCACGCACCGCCACAAATCCGGATTAAAACGTGCCAACAGGAGTAAACCTTAAATCATCTGCAGCCAATGGTTCCAGCGAGGGGAAAACACGCCTCCGAGGGGATTAGGCGCTCGTGCGGGGCGGGGAGTGGCTACCCCCTTTAACCTGTCACGACCAGACGCCCCAGCGAAGGGGAGGAGGAGGAGGGGGAGGAGGAGAAGGGGAGTGGGAGAAGGAGGGGAGAGGGAGGAGGAGGGGAGAGAAGGAGGAGGAGGAGGAGAGGGGAGTGGGAGGAGGAGGAGGAGGAGTGGGAAGAGGAGGGAGAGGGAGGAGAGGAGGGAGAGAAAGTGGAGTGGAGAGAGAGGGGAGAGAAGAGAAGAGGAGGGAAGGGACACAAAAGGAAAACAGAGCGAGGGAAGGGAGGGGGAGGGAGAGGGGGAGGGGGAGGCACCCCCACCTATGCCAGTTGAATACACGCTCGGCATAAACTTTGCATAAATGATTAACTCCTAAAGAATTAGCCAAAGGAATCGTTATGCTCCTTGAGATGGCGGCGGAGGCGGAGGTAAGACGGGGGAGGGGGGGGGGGAGAGAGAGAGAGAGAGAGAGAGAGAGAGAGAGAGAGAGAGAGAGAGAGAGAGAGAGAGAGAGAGAGAGAGAGAGAGAGAGAGAGAGAGAGAGAGAGAGAGAGAGAGAGAGAGAGAGGAGAGAGAGAGAGAGAGAGAGAGAGAGAGAGAGAGAGAGAAGAAAGAGAAATAGAAAGAAAAATAGAGCGAGAAGAGAAAGAGAAGAAAGAGAAAGACAGACAGACACAGACAGAGATACACCCAAAAAACACTTTAAAATTACACCTAAAATCAACTCAAAACCGGAAACCAAAAAATAGATAAACAAATAATCCACCAATATTTCCATATCACCTCGGCTACTTATTCCTTCATACAAGTTTTCCATACCGTAAATAAAAATAAATAAATAAATAAATAATAAATAAACAAACATTAATAACAAACAAATCAACAAATAAATAATAAACAAATAAATCAACAAACAAATAAATAAATAAACAACAAACAAAATAAATACAAACAAACAATAAACAAAAAACAAAAAATAAAATATATATATATATATAGCTTACAGAATACACTGAATTCCAAAATCGTCTTTCCCGTAACCCTTTCAGCTCGAGTCAACACCAGCTGTTCCTGGAGTGGCCGAGGTCGAGGGAAGAGAAAGAGAGGGAGAAAGAGAGAGAGAGAAAGAGGAGAGAGGGGGAAGACAGAAAGGGGGGCGGAGAGCTAAATAAGACAAAGGAGAGAGAGAGAGAGAGGGGAGAGCGTTAAGAGGATAGGGGGAATGGAGATAGCGAGAAGGGGAAGGAGGGAAAGAGGAGAGAGAGAGAGAGAGAGAGAGAGAGAGAGAGAGAGAGAGAGAGAGAGAGAGAGAGAGAGAGAGAGAGAGAGAGAGAGAGAGAGAGAAGAGAGAGAAAGAGAAAGAAGAAGAGAAAGAGAGTGAGAGAAAGAGAAACAGAAAGAAAGAAAAACAGAGCGAGAGAGAGAGAAAGAAAGAAAGAAAAGAAAGAAAGCGAGCGACAAACAGACAAACAGACAGACAGACAGACAGACAGACACAGCGCCCAGGTGATGACGGGCTCACGTGCATCGTCTTGTCACGTCAGGAGACACTTAGAGCAGCCGATACGCCCCTTGGCTGTGTCTTGCCCGTGACGCCTTACGGGTGTCAAAATGGGGGAGGGGCGGGGGGAGAAAGGGAGGGAAGAGGGGGAGGGAGGCAGGGGGTGGGGAGAGGAGGGGGGTTGAGTGAAGGGAAGAGGAGTGAGGAGGGCGAGGAGGCGACTTGCAGAAGGGGAGGTGAACAGGGGGGGGGAGAGGAGCGGAGGGGGAGACGGAGGGGGGTGAGGAATGGGGAGAAGGCAAGGGAAGAGAGGGAGGAGGAGGAGGAAAGGAGAGGAGAGCGAGGGGGTGAGGGAGGAAGAGGGGAGAGGAGAGGAGAGGGAAGGAAATTGAGAAAGAATGAAAGGAGGGAGAAAAACAAGAGAGTAAAATGAGAAGCTTGAACAGATAGGAAGAAGAGCATGACGAAGAAGACGACGAAGAAAAAATGCGAGAAGGAGCAAGGAAACGCAGAATCTAAACAAAAACAAAGAAGAAGAAAACAAGTAAAAAAAGAAAGAAAGAGAGAAAAGGAAAGAGATAAAAAAAACAAGCGAAGAAGAGAGTAAAAAAAGAAAAGGAGAGAAAGAAGGAAAAGATAAAAAAAAAACAAACCCCAAATCCAAATCTGGAAACCGATCGCAGACATAAACAGTAAAAATTTTAAAAAAATAAATAAAAGAAATAATAAATAAACGAAGACCTCCCCAATTAAAACCGAGACGGAGCCAATCACCCCTCTTTTCCTCTTCCCCTCTTTGGCGACGCAGATCATGCTCGCGTCTTTTTTGGCTCTTCCTTTGAGGAGGGAAATCCAAGGCTCTTCTCCTCACCCTCAACCCTCGCCTCGCCTCCCTCTCCTCTCTTCCCCCTGCCCCTCGTTCTCCTCATCTTCCTTTCCTTTCTCTCTTTATGCTTCGTTCTCGTTCCTCTCTCTCCCTTTCCTCTCTTACGCTTCTCGCTCCCTTCTCTTCTCTTCTCCCTCTCTCTTAGTCTCTCTTTCTCGCTCTCTCTCTCCCTTTCTCTTACTCTCTCCCTTCTCCCTCTCCCTCTCCTCCCCTCTCCCTCCCCTCTCAATCCTCTCCTCTTCTCCCTCCACCCTCGTACTTATCTCTACCCCTCATACTCTCTCTCGTGGAGGTTTGGAGGGAGGAGGGAGGAGGGAGGGAGAGATGGAGATGAGAAGGGGATGATAGAGAGGAAGGGAAGAGAAGGATGGAGGGAGATAGAGAGATGGAGGGGGAGAAGAGAAGAAGGAAGGAGGGAGAGGACAGGGAGGGAGGGATGGGAAGACGGAGAGGAGGAGAGAGGGAGGAGGAGAGAAGAGAAAAGGGAAAGGAGAGGAAGAGGAAGAGGGGAGGAAGGAGAGGAAGAGGAAGAGGAAGAGGAACGGGGAGAGGAAGGAGGGGAAGAGGGAGAATGAGAGGAAGAGGGAGGAAGAGAAGAAGAGTGGAAGGGAGGAGAAGGAGAAGAAGGAGACGAGAAGAGAAGAGAAGGAGAGCAAGAGGGAGAGAAGAAAGGCGAGAAGAGAGTGAGAGAAAAAGGGAGAGGAAGAAGGTATATGCAGTGCTTTACTCTTCCTCCAAATGAAATCATCCACGGAAACCATTAGCACTGGTGGCGACGCGCCGAAAAAAAGTGGGGAAAGGGGGGGAGGGGGAGGGGAGGGGGAGAGGGGGAGGGAGGAAGGGGAAGGGAGAGATAAGATAGAGAGAGAGGGGGGGGGAGGGGGAGGTGAAGGGCAGGTGAGATGAGTAAAGGGAATGTGGGAGGGAAGGGGAGAGGGAGGGAGAGGAGGAGAGGGGGGGAGGGAGGAGGGAGGGGGGAGGGAGAGAGGGAGAGAGGGAGAGAGAGAGAGAGAGAGAGAGAGAGAGAGAGAGAGAGAGAGAGAGAGAGAGAGAGAGAGAGAGAGAAGAGAGAAAGAGAGAGAGAGAGAGAGAGGAGAAAGAGAAAAAGAGAAAGAGTGAAAGAGAGAAAAGAGAGACGAGAGAGAGCGCAACACTTTCAAATCTCCCTTTCCCTCTCTCTTTTTCCCCCACCCTTGCCGTCAGCGTTTCGAAACCAATAGTTATTACCTGGAAGCTGCGAGATAAGAGAAGTCAAAGGGTGGTCTGAGGGTGGGCTGAGGGTGGGCCGAGGGTGGGCCGAGGGTGGTGGGCTCCGAATGGCTCGAGACGTCATAAGCTCAGGGCGTGAGAGCATCAAAAGACACACACACACACACACACACGGGCTCTCAACGCCGCATTTAGGATACGTTCTAACCCCAAACGTCATCTCCGCGCAACTTTGGATCCATTCTAGCCTTAGGAGGGGGGAACCTAACCCACACCTACCCCCCTTCCCCCTTCCCCTCCCTCCCTCCCTCCCTCCCTCCCTACAACCAACCCCAATCCACACAAAACCTAAACCTACCTAAAAAAAAAAAAGAACAAATAACAATACCTAAACAAATAACCAAAAAAAAAAACTAAAATGACAAGGAAGGTGATAATCACCAATCAACTACGGTGTTTCCTATTCTTGGGTCCCCGCTGCTACAGAATTGCAAAAGGACCAATAAAGATCGCTTCCCTGCAAGTCTCGAGATACAAGGTCGTAATTCACCGTCTGATAGCATCTGGCAGCTCCCCGCCGCTCTTGTCGGCGCGGTGGGCATTGATTTTTTTTTTTGTCACGGGGGCATTCGGGGATGGGGGTTGGGGTTGGGGGGGGGGGGGAGAGCTTGCTTATTTATTTCGGTCCAGAAAGAGATTGTGTCTTATTTAAATACGCTCATAACTAAAGGGAACTTATTAAGGAGAGGCGACACTGGTCTGCGAGGGAGGAGGGAAAGTGAGATAGAGATAGAGAGAGGGGGAAGGAAGGAAGGGAGAAGGAAGAGAAGGAAGAGGAGAGAAATATTGAGAGGGAGAAGGAAGAAAGGAAGAGGAGAGAAATATGAGAGGGAGAAGGAAGAGAAGAAGAGAAATATGAGAGGGAGAAGGAAGAGAAGGAGAGAAATATGTGAGGGAGAGGATAAGAGAAAGTGAGTGAGAGTGAGAGTGAGAGAGAGAATGCTGGGCATACGAAGAGAGAGAGAGAGAGAGAGAGAGAGAGAGAGAGAGAGAGACGAGAGAGAGAGAGAGAGAGAGAGAGAGAGAGAGAGAGAAGAGAGAGAGAGAGAGGAGAAAAACTGCCAGACAGACTCCTCTATATTTGAACTCCCGGGCACATGGCACTGCAACGTCTATACAAAAACATCTTTCTAATCCCCCATACACGCTGTTTTTCCCCCTCCCCTCCCCCCCTTCCCCTCTTACCCCCCTCCTCGCTTCCTCCCCCTCCCCCTTCCCCCTCTTCCTCGCTTCCTCTTCTCTCGTCGCTTCTTAGAAGAAAAAAAAATAAGTTGGCATCTCGTTCAATTACCATGGAGGACCTCGTTGCTCTCCTTACGTACACATGTACACATATACTCGTACACACGAAAACACAATACGCACACAAGCTCCTATAGACACAAAGACAGACAGACACACACACACACACACACACACACACACACACACACTCGTACACACACACACACACACACACGTACACACACACACACACACCACACACACACACAACGTACACACACACACACACACACGTACACACACACACACACAAACACGTACACACACACACACACACACACGTGCATTACCTACGCCCAGCCGCTTAATATATGCAAATCAGCCTCTGCAAAAGCACAGCTGTTCTTAAAAACATTCTCACAGTCTCACCAAAATCCACCAACTCTCAATCACTCGACAACCAAAATGATGACAAATTATCATTCACGAAAGCAGGGAGAGAGAGAGAGAGAGACAGGAGAGAGGGAGAGGAGGAGAGAGGGAGAGGAGGAGAGAGAGGGAGAGAGGAGAGGAGGGGAGAGGAGAGGGAGAGGGAGAGGGAGAGGGAGTAGGGAGAGGGAGAGGGAGAGGGAGAGAGGGAGAGGGAGAGAGGGAGAGAGGAGAGAGAGAGAGAGAGAGAGAGAGAGAGAGAGAGAGAGAGAGAGAGAGAGAGAGAGAGAGAGAGAGAGAGAGAGGGAGAGGGAGAGAGGAGAGGGAGAGGGAGAGGGAGAGAGAGAGAGAGAGAGAGAGAGAGAGAGAGAGAGAGAGAGAGAGAGAGAGAGAGAGAGAGAGAGAGAGAGAGAGAGAGAGAGAGAGAGAGAGAGAGAGAGAAGGATGGATGGCGCGTAAAGGAAGAAGAATGACGAGGTAATAAGCGCACGAACAAAAAACACGAATAATTAGAACACGAAGAAGAAGAAGAAGAAGAACGGAAGGAGAAGAGAAGAGAACCAGATATCTAGCCGTCACGAACGTCACCCTTTCGGCAGGGCGTCACCTTTCGCCTCTCCGTCACACGTGTTCGTCGCGCATCAGCTGATCGCCGGAGCCCAGCTGATCGCTCTCCCAAAACAAATGCGCCGGACCATGCGTGTTCCTCCCGCCGCCGCCTTATCTCACTTTTATCTCGTCTTCAAAAGGCTTAGGCGTGACAAAAGGCATTTCTCGACACGCCCCTGAATGGCATGGGGAAGCACGGAATTATTTACATACGGCGTGGCGCGCGGCCTTTTGCCAAAATAGCTGAAAATCTCTCGAGATTGAATATGCATACCCGCGCTGCAATCCCGATCGTGTCCAACGCCATTCCGTTTACGTAAACGAAAACTAATATATAATCCATGTTACCTCTTGACACGTGTTCTTAAAGTTAATAAAGAGGAAATGATACACAAGATATTTATATTCATGAATCCAGACCCCAATAAGGGACAGGTTATCCGAGAAAAGATACAGCGATTAAATGCAACGAGAAATTATTAAGAAAAACCCACGCCATTTGATAACAAAATCCACCTCCCATTTCGAATTCCTCAGAGAAAAAAAAATGAATGAAAAATAAAATTCGCACTTTCTTCAGGAGCTCGCGAAAAGCCTATATGATGCAAAATAGCGCACAGAGGAGTTAGCAAAGAGGGGGAGAGAGGGAGGAGGGATGGGAAGAGAGGAAAAGAAAAACTTGTTTTCCTTGCTGTCAGCTGGCAGAGGTACAAGATTTGGGGAGGGAAGGAAAGAGAGTGGAAAACATGTCTCTATCTTCAAGGAATAGGGAGGGAAGAGGAGGGAAGAGGAGGGAGGGAGGGAAGGAGGGAAGGAGAGACAGAAAGGTAGAAGGAAGGAGGGAAGGAGAGAGAGAGAGAGAGAGAGAGAGAGAGAGAGAGAGAGAGAGAGAGAGAGAGAGAGAGAGAGAGAGAGAGAGAGAGAGAGAGAGAAGAGAGAGAGAGAGAGAGAGAGAGAGAGAGACAGACAGAGAGAGAGAGAAAGAGAGATAGACAGACAGACAAACAGAGAAAGAATAAAACAGAGACAGAGAGAGAAAGAAAGAAAGAAAGAAAAGAAGAGAGAGGTCAGACACAGAACCAAACGAAACAAGAAAAAAAACAACGATCAAAGAAAGACACGAAAAGGTTTAAAAGGATTAAACCATGAAAACAAGTCATTAAATCCGAGACTTTGAATTCTCGAAAATGAACTTACAGCGCAGAAGAATATAACATCGGAAAAAAATCCTCAAAGTCATTTTAAACATCAAGTTAGACTGATAAACATTTACTATCAAAATCACATGTAAGTAAACAACAGTCAGTACAAAATACAATAAAACTACTGCTAATAATAATAGTAATACAACAATAGCAACAACAACGATGATGATAATAATAATAAAACAATAACAATAATAATAATAATAACAATAACAACAATAATAATAATAACAATAATAATAATAACAATAATAATAATAACAATAATAATAATAATAATGATAATAATAATATCAACATCAACAGTATTAGTATTGCTATTGTTGCCGTTGTTTGTGTTACTGTTTTTATCATTTTTTATCACCAACAACAATAAAAACAACAACAAAACTTAAAAATCAAGATAACAAAAAGAAAGAAAACTGAAAACAACAACAATAAAAACAACAACAAAAAATCAAGATAACAAAAAAAAAGAAAAACTGAAAACAACAACAATAAAAACAACAACAAAACTTAAAAATCAAGATAACAAAAAAAAAAGAAAACTGAAAACAACAACAATAAAAACAACAACAAAACTTAAAAATCAAGATAACAAAAAAAAATAAAAAAAAAAAAAAACTGAAAACGTCTTCAAGAAACCACTTCCATCTTACCTTTTCTAACTCTAAGAGATGAAACCGGAGCACTTGAATCGCTTGAACCATCTGTGGGGGAGAGAGTTCAAGAAAAAAGGCCGATTTAGTCACAGACAAACAATTGGATAAAGAAAGGCCTAAATGTATATCTAAAAAAAAAAAAAAAAAAAAAAAAAAATTCTGAGAAAAATATAACTTAAAATCTAGAGGTATTTTTTTCCTGTTTTGAAGGCCTAAATAACTAATAACTAAATAACTAAAATGATGTATTGTTTCTGCTTTGAAGGCCTAAATGTATATATTTAAAAAGAAAATCTAAGAGAAAGAAATAACTAAAATCTAGATGTATTTTTTTCTGTTTTGAAGGCCTAAATGTATATCTTTAAATAAAAATCTATGATAATATAAAAATATATGAGAATAATACTAAGTAATAGCTAGATGTATTTTTTCTGCCTAGTTTTGAAGGCCTAAATGTACATCTTTAAACAAAAATCTCTGAGGATAAAAACAACTAAAAGCTAGATGTCTGTTGTTGTTTTTTAAACTATTTTTAAATCTATTTGGTTTGTCACAGATACAAGTAACAGTATCCCCTCCTCGCTCACATTCCTCTTGGAGCGACTTCTCATAATCATTCTAATGCTACCTTCTCTAACGATTAAAAGAACCCAAGGGGCTTAATCCAGCGGCTTTTTGGATTATCCTGCTGTGGGTGTCGACAAGCCATACGCCTGCTAGCCTGATCTGAGCCTGGATAATAGCGGGGTTTGTCTGCTGCGTGTGTAAGAGAGATGCATTTTATCTCTCTCTCTCTCTCTCAGAGCGAGCGAGAGCGAGCGACCTCTCTCTCTCTCTCTCTCTCTCTCTCTCTCTCTCTCTCTCTCTCTCTCTCTCTCTCTCTCTCTCTCTCTCTCTCTCTCTCTCTCTCTTCTCTCTCTCTCGCTCTCTTCTCTCGCCTCTCGCTCGCTCTCTCTCTTATCGACGCTTTAACGTGATTTTTAAGTTTACGTAAAATCTCGGGAGGAATTTAAGAGGACTTTCTCGCGCGCCGCGAACTCGGTTGTGTTATATCAATTAGACTCTGGGGATTCTTTGGCTTCTTTTGCTTTGTCGTCGTCTGGATCTCCTTCCTTCGCCCCTCGCGCCGCCGCCCCCGCCGTCCTCCCCGCAGCGGCAGGCGGCGGCGGCGGCGGCGGCGGGAGAGCGGGGAGGCGCTGCAGGAGGGAGCGAGCCTCGAGACAGCGCCGCCCGCGCTCGCCTCCCCGCCCTCCCCGCCCGGCGCCCCCGCCCTTCGCCCTGGCTCCTTCTCCTCCGAACGGCGCATCTCCCTCTCCCTCGCGAGCGGCAACCCCGTCCCTCGGCCGCCGCCCGCCCTGGCCGCGCCGCCCGACCGGGAAGCTGCTCGCCCGCGGCCAACTGCCTCCATGATGCTCCTGCAACGCATTTGCATATTAACAGGCAGGGCGCATCCGCCGTGAGCCGCCCGGCCAGCCCGCCCGCCCGGCCGAACGCACCAATCAAACAAAATGGCGCTCTATCACAGCCCCTTGAGCAGGCCCCGCTATACCGGACGGCGCCCTCGCTACAGCGGACGCCCTGGACGCCGACGGCGCGCGGTGGCGGCCTTTGCGTGGGCGCCTGGCGGAGGGAGGGCGCCATGCAGCACGCAGAGCGCCCCTGCCTGCCACAGGCCCCGCCCGCCCAGCGCCGCCCGGCCCGACCGTGGGCGCCGTGGCAGGTGGCGGCCTCGCACGCCTCGCGCCCTCCGCGCCGGGTACACTGCCGGGGCGGCCGCTGCGGCACCGCGGGGCACTGGCGCTCCGCCCTGCGCCCGCCCGCCCGCCCGCCCTCCGGGTAACGGCGCCCTGTCTATCGCGGCCAGGACGGCGGACCCAAAGCCCGCTCCGCTATCGCTGGACCTGCAACCTTTCTCTACCTGTAATTTCCTTTATTGCAGGTAATCTTATTAATTACCTGTAACCTTCTGCTTAACTTATAACCTTCACCTTAAATCCCTTTGTCCCTTAATTAATTAACTTTCGCCAAGACTTCCTAGGTCTTTCCAGAACGAAACAGAGAGAGAGAAAACGCGTAATATTTTCCATGATTTTACAAACGCAGACGATTAAAACTATAATGATAATGATAATAATATTAATTTTCATTATTGCTATTATCATCATCATCATCACACCGCATCATCATAATTATTATAGAAATAAAATGAAAACTGGACTAAATAAATATAAAAGGCTCTTGTCAACACCCGCTTTTTCTACACAATAGGCCTAATAGTGTATTTTTTTCCAGAAGAAAGAATTAGAAAAGAATAATGCAAAAATAAGATCCATCTAGAAACCTATTTTTGAATTCAAAATAATATACGTTTCCAAAATTAAGATGTGTCGATAAACCTATTTTTGAATTCAAAATAATATGCATTTACAAGTTGAAGATCCGTTTATAAGCTTATATTCTAAAATTCAAAATAACATATATTTGCAAAATTAACATCTGTCTTTAAACCTGTTTCTTAAATTAAAAACTCTAAATATTTGCAAAATTTAAATTGTTCTATAAACCTATTTTTGTTTAATTAAAAACAACCCATATTTGCAAAGTTATAACCTGTCTATAAACTTATTCCCTAAAATTAAAAAATAATACAATTATGCAACACTCAAGACCTGTCAATAATTTGCATACTCTGATGAAACCCAAACAATTAATGAACAACTGGCGGTGTTTTCTGTCATGTGGCAAACTTGTTCAATTTAGGCAGAATCTTAAATTACATACGCTTTTGCAGGTTATCTAAATATCATCTTTAATAACTAGTTTGAGTTACATGATTGAACATCGATCTACTTAATCAAGATCATATTTCCTAAATGTTAATCAGTTTTATAAAAATTTTGAAACATCCATCTAGTTTACATTTGTGTGTATGTTGGGTGGGATTTCATCTATCACAAATTTGAATAAATCTCATGATCTTGTCCATGGTCACAAAGACATAAAAAAAAATGCATACTATATAACAAAACACCTACAATGTATATATATATATATATCCACACATCTCTACAAACTTGAAACATCCAAGAAAAAGTAAAAACATATCTACCAATCATATCATAATTACCATCTTAATCCAAGACCTCACTGAAGTAATAAACACACAAAACACACACAAATAATTATATATATATACTAAATAGAAAAAAAAAAAAATTAAAACACAAGAGAGAGAGAAAAGCGATGGGTAGTTACTTACTAAGCTATCAAGCTCTGGGTTTGCCTGATAATATGGCTTCTCCTGCCTAATCTGTAAAAGGCAAAATTTCGGGGCTAAGTCGGACTCTTTGGAGGCATAAGGGCGGCTACTGGGACCCGCCCACGGGGTCGGAGTGGGCGGGTTGTGCAGGGGTGGGTGGGGTTGGGTGGGGTGGGGTGGGGTGGAGGAAGGGATAGGGGAAGGGAGGAAAGGGGGGGAAGAGAGAGAGGGAGAGAGGGAGGGAGGGAGAGGAGGAGAGGGAGAGAGGAGAGAGAGAGAGAGAGAGAGAGAGAGAGAGAGAGAGAGAGAGAGAGAGAGAGAGAGAGAGAGAGAGAGAGAGAGAGAGAGAGAGAATCAGAAAAAGAAACAGCGAAAGAAGAGAGAGAGGAAAAAAAATATATATATAGAAGTTCAAGAATAGGATAGAGAAGATAAGAGGACAGAAAAGAAAGAAAAGGAGGAGGAAAAAGGAAGAGAGAGGAGAAAAGGCAAGGAGGGAAGAAGGATCAAGGACTCTACACCCTGGCGGAGTGATGGTGACATTAGGCCGAAAGTGATGGTGATGGTGATGGTGGTGATGGTGATGGTGGTGATGGTGATGGTGACTTACCATGCTGTCAACTTCAGGATGTGAGTAGTAGAAGGGTTTCTCGTGTCGTAGCTGCACGATGAGGGAGAAACAACACCACTTAAGTTGCATTTTTGAATCTCTAAATCTTATTTCATTTTATTTTTTTATTTTTATTTGTTTTTTTCTTGGGGGAGGGTAGGGGATTAGTGGGAGGGTAGGGGGGGAGGGGTTGGTAAGGGAGGCTGGTAAATAAGACGGAGAGGGAGAAGGGGAGGGGGAATGGGAGGTAGGGGAGGGGGGAGGGGGGTTGGTGAATGAGTGAAGAGGGTTTTTTTTCGATAAATAATAATAGTAGTAGTAGAGTAATAGTAAACTTTACAAGAAAAAAAAAGAGTAATTGAGTGGCAATGATTGATAAATAAGGTGTTATGGGGTCAAAACGTAATAAATTTCGGAGGGGCTAGTAATAACAGTTATAAATAAAATATATATACATAACCAGCAGAGGGTGGGGAAGGAAGGGGATGATGAAGACAGGAAAGCACGTAATGGGATAAATAAGGGAAAAAGGAATGAATGGTAATGAACAGTGGAAGAGGCAAACGTAGCAATACCCAAAACAAAATGGAATATTAATCGAAATATCAATCTTTTATATAATTATCTTAGCTCAATTAAATAAAAAATAAAAATAAAATCAATAAATAATTAAATAAATCAACAAAATAAAACTAAAAGTTATTAGCAATTAATTAAAGGTGCTTTAAAACTTCCATCAAATTTTGGGGGTCATTGTCACGTTGCAAAGATAATGATAAATGCCAAAAGTGCACATTGATAAACCATCTGCAAGGGAAATATGGTGAAACATATATAAACATTTATCACAATATACTAAAAAACAATTTATTTACTTTAAATTAATGTATCTTCATGAATTATACTAAAAAAACTATTTATTTACTTTAAATTAATGTATCTTCATGAATCATACGAAAAAAATTTATTTCCTTCAAATGAATATATCTTCATGACTAGCAAACTCAATATTACTGTCACATTTATTTTTACGTTAAGAATTTTGTTACTAGGAAATGAACCGTCAAGATATTTCATTAAAGTGAGAGACAAATACAAAATATGAAGAAATATACAATGATATTTTGTCCTTATAATAATCCACAGATATAACATCTTACAAGTAAACAAATTAAATATCAATAAGTACAAGATAAGACATGGGAAAGATATTAAGGCAACAGGAATCCTCGTCACGTAAATAATGATAATAATGATAATAATAATAACAATAATAATATTAAAATGCGGTTGTCAGAGAGCTTACAAAATCTCTCTCACTCACTCACTCACTCACTCTCTCTCTCTCTCTCTCTCTCTCTCTCTCTCTCTCTCTCTCTATCTCTCTCACTCTCTCTATCTCTCTCTCTCTCTCTCTCTCTCTCTCTCTCTCTCTCTCTCTCTCCTCTTCTCTCTCTCTCTCTCTCTCTCTCTCTCTCTCTCTCTCTCTCTCTCTCTCTCTCTCTCTCCTCTCTCTCTCTCTCTCTCTCTCTCTCTCTCTCTCTCTCTCCTCTCTCTCTCTCTCTCCGACAGCCGCCATAATACAAGCAATTGTCTCACCGACCCAAAGATAAGAGCATAATTTAGTCGGATTTATCACTGAAAGGTCTTCTCGGCCTCGGATTATGCCCCTCCCTTCCCTCCCCCCCTCCCCCTCCCCCTTCCCTTAATCCTCTCCCTTAACACCCCTCCCCCTCCCCTCTCCCTGCCAACCTATATTCCCTTATATGGTCTCTTTTGTTCTTGAAGAAGCGTTCTCTAATCTCTTTTTGTCTTGTTCTTGAAGGAGTGTTCTCTAAAGCTCTCTCTTATTCTTTTCTTTTTAAAAGGCTTTTTTTCCATCTGTGGTTCTTCTCGTAATGTTCTTTCTGTTGCTCTGTTGTTCTCTTCTTCCTTCACTTTTTTCTTTTCTTCTCTTAATCTGTTGCTCTTCTCCTCTCCCATAGATCATGGAGTGGGAATAAATAACACACCAATAGATTATCTAACGTAAACACGGTGCAATTGCAATCAACACTAAACACTTTGTATATACACTTTTTTTTTCCTTCTTGCTTTTTTTCCCGTCTTTCCTTTATCACTTGTGTTTTCATTTTTTTCTTTCTTGTGTGAAGTCATAAGTCATTCCTGTTTTGCTTGCTGTCTTCGATATGTTTTGTTTTGTTTTGTTTTCTTTATGTATATCAGTTTGTCTTCTCCCTCTGCCTCCTTCCTCCCTCTCCTCTCCCTCCCATTCCCTCTCCTTCCTTCCCCTCCCCCTCCTTCCCTGACTCTCTCCTCCCTCTCCCTCCTTCCTCCTCATCCCTCCTCCCACCCTCCCTCCTCCTTCCCTCTCTCCTTCTATCCTTCCCTCTCCCCCTCCTCTTCCCTCTCTCCTCTCTTCCCTCCTCTCTCTCCCACACATCACCAGTCTACGCAATTCACGTTTAAGCCGCGACACATCGGCACTAAATTAGCCCCACGTCGGCAGATTGCACAAACACGTCTCGACACGTCTCACAGTGCGTCAGCTGTGCTTCGGAGGGGGTTCGTAAAAAAAAAAAAAAATAATAATAATAAAAAAAAAATACATAAAATAAAACTTCAGAAGAATACCAAACACATGTAAATAACGACTAACGACGCAGACAGAACAAACCACGGACCAAAAAGAAAAAAAGAAAAAAAAAAGAAAAAAAAAGTAAAAATCTCCACTGCACTAACCATTCTAATCTCTCTCGCAGCCTCTCTCTCTCTCTCCTCTCTCTCACTCTCTCTCTATCTCTCTCTTCTCTCTCTCTCTCTCTATCCTCCCTCTAAACCTCGTTGTTGTGTGGTTTGTTATCTGTATGTGGTTAGTGTATGGTTGTGTGTGTGTGTCTGTGTGTTGATGTGTCGTGTGTGTGAGTGACTGTGTGTGAAGATTGTGGTGTGTGTGATGTTGTCGGCCTGTTGTAGTGTGTGAAGTGGTACGCGCTGTGTGGTGCAATGACGTTGACACGTATAAAAGTGCCGAGGCTAAACGAATGAGCGGGGATATTAATTAATTGAAGGGGATAAATAGACTAAATAAATATCCTGTGCCCTAAAAATTAACCGCCGAGTGAGTGAGAGAGAGAGAAAAAAAATTAACCAAACACCATCCTCACATCCCCAACAGACACCCCCCTCCCCCTCCCCTTCTCCCCTTTCCCCATTTCCCTCTGCTTTATCCACAATCCTTGTTTCCCATCAGGAGAGGAGGAAGAGGAAGAGGAAGAAGGAAGAGAGGGAAGCAGGATGGAAAGGAGGAAGAGGGAAGGAACAGGAGGGAAGCAGGATGGAAAGGAGAGGAGGGGAAGAGAGAAGAGGATGGAGGAGGAAAGAGAAGAAGAAGAAGAAATTGAAATAAGAGGAAGGAACAGAGAAAAAACAAAGATGAAGGAGAGGAAGAGAGATGAGAGAGAGAGAGAGAGAGAGAGAGAGAGAGAGAGAGAGAGAGAGAGAGAGAAGAGACGAGGAGAGAGAAGAGAAAGGAGAGAGAGACAGAGGAGAGAGAGAACAAGGAGAGAAGAAGAAACAGTAGGATCGAACAGGCCAAGGGAACGAGAAAGGAAGGGAGAGGAGGAGAGAGAGGAAGAGGAGAGGAGGGGTAGGGGAACCATCCCCCCCCCCCACCCCACCCCCCACCGCCCCCCATGGCATCGTCCCCGCCCGATAAATTCATGTTTAGTGCCCCCGAGTAGATTTTTGCATTCCCGTATGATGTTTCGGCCCTTTTAACAGACTTTACACTACTCGTTATAATTTGTAATGGATGTCAGAGGACGAGGGAGAGGGGGAAGGGGAAAGAGGAAGAGGGGAAGAAGGGGAAGGAGGGAAGAAGGAGGAACGGGAAAGGGAAGGGGAGGGAAAAGGGGAAGGGAAGGGGGAAAGGGGAAGGAGGAAGGAAGGGAGGGAAGAGGGAGAGGAGAAAGGGGAAAAGGTGACTGGCATTCCTGATTTGGGGGAGGGAGGGAAGGGAGAGGAGGGAGGAGGAGGAGGGAGGGAGAGGGAAGGGAGAGAGAAGGGAGAGGAAGAGGAGAGGAGAGAGAGAGAGAGAGAGAGAGAAGAGAGAGAGAGAGAGAGAGAGAGAGAGAGAGAGAGAAGAGAGAGAGAGAGAGAGAGACGAGAGAGAGAGAAGAGAAAAGAAAGCGAAAAACACACAAAACAGAAAAGAAGAAAAACAGAGAAACAAGATTACCGGAAGGGAGTGAAAGTGACGGAATGAAACAGAAAAGCGAAAACAGAGAAAGACAAAAATAAAATAGACGAATAAAAAGGAAAAGGACGAGAGCAGAAGAGTCAGAATAGAAAGCTGGGAAGTGGAGCGATAAAATACACTGCGTAGAAGGGGAGGAGAGAGGGAGGGAGGAATAAATACCTAAAGAGAGATAAAAGAGTG